CCCCCTCAGGCAAGGCCTGAGGCTGGGCATAGGCTGGTGTGAGGGAAATGTTTCCCTGAGGCCTCCAACATGCAGGAGGTCTGTGTTGCTGTCGGAAGAAGAGACCCAGGACCAATAATGGCTCTTGAAGTTCCTTTAACCTGAGGACTTCAGGAGTATGGCCGTTGTCTTTCCTATTGAGGCTCTATATTCATCCTGCTCATCTGCTACTTCAGTTGCCATCCGCTGCCTCCCAAATGGATCTACACTGATATCCCAACCAGGTCTGGTGAGTCTGGAGCCTATGTTTGTTACACTCTGGAAGCCTCGAATCCCTATACCCTCTCTCCCCAGTGAAGATGTTCAATAAAAGTTATTCTGCATTATACTCCTGGAGTGGACATCAGCTATTGTGGGGCCTAGAAGAAGGGTGGTCAATGCTAATGGGTGGGCAGCTGAAGAATCAGGCCCTAGACAGATTAGAGATGAACCGGGCATTTAGCGGCTCCTTCGGGGGTGAGTGCTACAATGGTATTATATATTATTAATTATCTCAAAACAAGTTATATATTGATTTGTATCCATATTCCTGGTCACTTAATTCCACACAGATTGTAAGCTCTCACGGACAGGGCTCTCCTAACCATCTTGTCTTGAATTATAATATCTTGTTTATTTTGTAAAGCGATGAGCGAAATGTTGGCGCTATGTAAATAAATATGAGTCCACCCATGTGAAAATCTCAGTTTTCATTTTGACCTATGACCTTCCCTCAAAAATGGCCACCAAACTCCCCCTACCACTTACAAGCCCCGAGTCAATGAGAAGATTACTTCTCATTGACTCGGGGCTTGTAAGCTGGGTCCTTGATGGCACTGGGGCCTGTTGTACCTTCTGTGTCCTCCCCTTTGTTAACCAGTTCTGACGCCCTGATGCATATGTAAAAGATTCCGCCGGTATTATGTGAGGGACTCATCACTCACCTCTTCCACTGCAGCAACTCCCTCTCAATATAATCCACCATCTCCACAAAGTCAAAATTCGGGGCTTCTAGACAGGACACCAGGAAGATGTGGGCTCCTTGAGGCCCACTGCCACCCAGTCTCTCTTCTGTTTTCCCCCTCAGGCCCAAAAGTGTCTGGCCTCTCCAGTAATTCTTCCCTTGCTGCCTCTTCTCAGTATGCAACATGAGGTCAACATGGGTCTGCACCACGCAGTAGGGTTTCCCTAAATGTTTTAGGGTTCCCAGAAGTTGCAGGTCAGCATCAGAGATGACCTCCCCAACCGTCATCACCAGGCAGTGGACGTTCTCAGGTTTGATGCCCTCCAGGTACGCAGTGGGTGAATCTCCGTGGTTGTACCCTGGGTAATCCAGAAGAGTTACATTAGGCAGAGAAGGGTATATATGGCACGTCGCTTCACGAGATCCTTCTTCTCCTCTAAAATACGAGTCTAAGAACTTTGGACTGAACTGCTCTGTTTGGTGGCAAAGAGATCGGACTAGTGTGGTCTTTCCTGATCCTCGCGGTCCGACGATGGCAATACTAAAACTGACCGATTCTGGAGTGGCCAGCGAGTCCAGAGCTCCAGATAATGCCTCTGTAGCTATCTCCACTTCAGCCATGTCTACTCCTTTCTGGAAGAGAAAACCAAAGAGATGCAGAGGCGCAGATAAAATATGGGTACACCTTCAAGACCATGACTGTATGTAGTATTAAACCAGCTTTATTTTTAATTCTTCCCCACCCTCTCTATGTTCCAGCGCTACCCTCTGTGTTGTCATCTGGCAATCATAGCCACCCTTGGAAGGACCCGTGACATCACTGGACCCCCTGGAGACAGCATTATTGTATGCATTTAAGGTACTTAACATAAAGGTGTATGTGTTTGGGTGCGTTTCAGGGAAGTAGGGATGGGTGGCTGGTGGCAGGAGATGGGCTTTAGAGGAAGACTACCTTGTATTTACAATAACTACTTGTCATGGATACAGGCTGCAGGAACCTATTTCTCTCATTTCCTATTATTTCCGGTTGCTGCGTAACATTGTTATTTGTGAACATCTTCCCCAAAGAGAGTGATCACTGTGCTTGTGTTTTGCCTTGTGTTGCCCATTTGTCATCCCCCCTCCCCATTTCCTGTCCCCGTCATGCTTCTCCCTGCCTGCCGGGTCCCAACCAGAATTCCCTGAAACTGTTAGTCGGCTGGGATCAGAAGCGGTACCCGCTGAAAGTATTCATCGCCCGCTTCAGCCGCTCCTTACTCTACCATGTCCATCTTTTGGGGATTGTTGTATTCATGGTAGGGGAGTGGCCGGGGTGGTTACTAAGAGGGAACTCCATCGGGAACCCTGTTTCTTTATGCCCTGTATTGCAGACCGAGGTTCAGTAACCGCGGCAACGGATCTCCTGGACGTTTACACACAAGCGGTTCTCGATGGAGCTTTGGAGCGCTGTTGCTCCGTCCCCCAGCCACGGATAACGTCCCTTTTTTAGAGACTGGAGCTGTTGAACTATACCCCGGAAACCCCGCCGCTCCCTTAGGATCACCCCAAAAGGAACTATATGTGCACATGTGGGTATCCCTGAACATTGAACTCTAAGTAGGTGCCAGGATGTTCTGGGTGGGCAGTATCTTTTGTGATGTGATCATGCCCCTTATCGAGATTAGTTTGTGTATAAATTGTGGTGCTGCTTACTAATAAAAGTCAGTCCTGCTTTCACTCAATACTGGTGTCCTCTAGTTATTGGGTGAATTTTTTCCTATAATCACTTGTTCCTGTGCCTGAGCCGTGAGGAAGCAGTCTTCTGGCGGAGGTACCCAGGTGGGGTATCCGGGAGTCCTCCACACTACTCCTCTTGATTTCATCGTGCCAGGTTTACAGTAAAGCAATTTCATACCCCATACAGAGACTTGTGGGTTTGTCATACATACTAAACGGCTGCTGCAAGAAGATCAAATGCAAGGTAAGCCACTAATAAAAGTATATTGTTTTCAGCTGAAGGCTATTGGCAGGGCTCTGCCCATTGTATTGATAAGGCACGATTACTCTGTTGTGCTATGAAGCAGGGCTTATATGTAATGAGCAAATGTGACTGTACCAGGTTATGTATAATATTGCCAAAATGTAAAAAAAATCAAAGTTTTGTAAAAATGAACATATGTGCTTCCTCAATGTACTGACACAGTTTCACTCAGCCCTGTAAATAAACACTTTCTTGTATCCTTGCATCACCACTTCGACAGAGCCTGCCGTCCAAACTACAACTCAGCGTCTGAACACTGTAACATTATCATTGCTTGTTGGAAGCAATGCATGATGGGATATGTCATCTTGAGAAATGGGGATTGCATCACATCAAGCAGCAGGAAAAGAGATGCAAAGCACGCTGGGAATCCAGGAAGTTGATGGAAGCGATCGGCAGACGGAAGGCAGCGCTCACTACATAAAAGGGATTTTTTTCATGTAAGCTTTCATTGTATTATCAAAAACAACTCTAGTATGCATTTCTATTACAATGCTGCTGTTATAAGAGGAGAGGATATGCTGGCACTTTACAGCTCCTGTAAGGCGCCATTTATACCTGCAATTAGGGCTGCATGCGGATTCTGGTGGCAAGAACATGCAGATTCCCGTGGCCAGAATGGCAGGTGTGTGCGAATAGCTGCAAAGCAATGACAGGCTGAATGGTGGCCGCAGCTGTTCAGCTGTACAGGCAGTCCCCGGGTTATCAACAAGATAGGGACTGTAGGTTTGTTCTTAAGTTGAATTTGTATGTAAGTTAGAACAGGTACATTTTTTAAGTGTAACTCCAGCCACGTTTTGGTTTGTTTTGGATAGCATAGGGAAGGGTTAACCCCACTGTAAAGTTTGTTCTGCTGCATGTGCACCTGTTCAGAAGATTTCTCCTCACTTCCTGTCCATGTGACAATTGGATTTTGAAAATTTTGGGTTGTCGTGGAAACAAGGATTGGTAATAAAGCTTCAGCGGAGACACCTTTTTCCCATGATCACTCTTACAGGAGTGAATTTCCCTTCCTAGGGGTAGATTTCCTTTCACTTCCTGTTGCCTCAAGGACAGGAAGTGAGATTAAATCTTTCTAATGCGGATACAGACACTAATAAAAACCTCAGTGACCCGGAAGAAGAGGCGGGCACTTCTCACCTGCACGTCTAACAAGAGCCAACTTCCTGTAATGTGCATACAGTACTACGAACCAGACCCAAAAAGGCGTGCACTCCTCGTCTGCACGTCTAACAAGAGCCAACTTCCTTTAATGTACATACAGTACTACGAACCAGACCCAAAAAGGCGGGCACTGTTCGTCGGCACGAGCGCGGTAGCATTACAACTACCCCTGCTGTACAGTAATAGCCGCAGTTTGTAAGTAGGAGTTGTATGTAAGTCGGGGACTGCCGGTATTGGGCACCATTGATCACCTGCGATTAGTATCAAATGATCCCTGGGATGTGGTGTCTGACTACATCCGAACAGCTGCGGCCGCTGTCACTGCTTTTCAAAGGCCGGACTGCAGCAGCTATCGGCACACATGTGTTATGGCGGCAGGAATCTGCATTGACATCAAATCTGTGGGTTGCCTTTGAAACATGCCTCTATTTACCTCTAACAAATTAACCAAATTTGTTCACCACACAAAGGGGTTTAGTTAGAACACTACCCCACAGCCATATGCAGGGTGAATGCTGTTCTCACAGCACTCCCACCACTAGATGGAGCCAAGGAGCATAGACTAATGTACGGGGGCACTCAGATGGCAGCAACTAATGTAATGGGGCACTCTGATGGCAGCAACTAATGTAAGGGGGCACTCTGATGGCAACAACTTTATGTAAGGGGGCACTCTGATGGCAACAACTTTATGTAAGGGGGCACTCTGATGGCAACAACTTTATGTAAGGGGGCACTCTGATGGCAGCAACTAATGTAAGGGGGCACTCTGATGGCAACAACTTTATGTAAGGGGGCACTCTGATGAGGACAACTAATAAGTAATTGTCCCCATCAGAGTGCCCCCTTACATTGGTTGTCCCTAGAGTGCCCTTTTAAAATGCTGCTGTCACATTAATTTGTAATGCAGGACCTGGTAGAGAGATGGACAGGAGAAGGGAGGACACAGGGAGGTGTACATGGAGCTCTGCCAGGACATGTCCTCACTTTCCTGCATGCACAGCTCAGCCAGTGCACACAGCCCCGCTATCTCCCTCACACTCTCTGGCTGATTAGTCCCATCGGGCGGCTCAGTCTGTGCAGAGAACTCCCCCAGCGCTGCCTCCTGCAGTGCCTATAGTGGTCAGGAGGCGGTGCTGGGAGGAGCTGGGAGTCAGGGATGGGAGGAGCTGGGAAGTGGGGCAGACGTCGGGCTGCAGGAGAGGACAGAAGACAATACTCTTCCGTCCTCCCTTAAAGCTGGGTGGGAACAAAGCTGACGTCATTGGTTGCTAGGACGGCTGCGGTCCTAGCAGCCAATGACTGAGGAGAAATGGGGACCTGCGCTGGGTTACCTAGTTGGCGATCTCAGTCCAGATAGAACTGCTACACGGTCCATATCCAAACTGCGGTCAGCCATTTAGGTACCCTTGCCCTACAGCATGAAGGGCTTATTCTTGATGCACCCAGACCTGCGGGAAGAATTGTGCAGACTGCTCATGTAAGTCTATAGAGACGCAGGAGCTGTGCGCCCTCACATGCTGCTTCCCGCAGCTCAGAGTTTTGACAGCCGCACCCAGATGGTTCCAGATCCGCGTGTGGCTGTCCAAACTTGGAGATGCAGGAAGTAGCGTGTGAGGGTGCACAGCTCCTGCGTGTTGATAGACTCATCCATACATGCGTGTCCGTGAGCTGCCTGCACGCTTCTTCCTGCAGCTCCGGATGCATTAAAAACCGGGTCCATCACGCTGCACGGGGCAATACTCCCCTTACCCAGGCATGGTCCACTGTTATTACCATCACCCGGAGAAGCACATGTAGACAGGAAGTGGCTGCGGGAGATCAGCAGTAAGGATGGGCTCGGGCGTGTTCGCAGCTCCACGTGCCGAGCCCACCAGGAAGCCGTCAGTGCGCAGGGCCAATCACAGGCACTGAGACATGTTCCTGGTCTGCAGCTACAGAGATCGGGAAATGTCTCAGTGCCTGTGATTGGCGCTGTCAGCTTCCTGGCGGGCTCGGCACGTGGAGCTGCGAACACGCCCAAGCCCATCCTGAGGCCCCATTCACACTGAGCGGAAAAGCCAGCGATTTCCGCCGCAATATCACGCATTTTTGCCGCACGATATGGCGAGAAGTCGCCGGCCAATGGTTTTCAATGGAGCTGTCTTAATGTACAGCTCCATGTCGCGGTCGCAAGTCGCGCCTGCGGGACCCTTGTTCCCGCGATGTCGCGCAAATTTCCTTTTTTTAATGCAGCACGACGGTGAAGGTCGTGTGATCGTCGCCCGAACCGTCGCGGAAATCCGCTCGAGGTGAGTGTCGCTTAGTGTGAATGGGGCCTTAATCAGTAGCAATGATATGCAACAGAGGATAGAAAAAAACAAAAGATGAAAACAAATATCTTATATAAAAAAACAAAAAAACACGGCCGATGTTTAGGATACAAAGAAAATATTTTTCAGTTAGGGATTACACACTTTAACCCCTTGCTGACCGGGATGTTTATACCCCCTTCCTGTTCCGGCCATTTTCCAGTATTCGGCGCTGCGGTACTTTGACTGACATTTATTCCGTCATGCAACGCTGTACTGAAACAAAATTTATACCATTTTTTGGGGACAGATAGAGCTTTATTTTGGTGGTATTTGATCACCACTGCGGTTTTTATTTTTGACTATATAACAAAAAAAGTACAGAAAGTTCGGAAAAAAAACAACTGTTTTCCCTTTTATTATGTTATGAAACATTTATTATTACTCAATTTTTTGGTAAAATATAAAAGGCGGGGTCACGTCGGGTAAATAGACACCAAACATGTCAAGCTTTAAAACTGCACATGCCCACGGAATGGCTACAAACGACCGCATCCAAAATTGGCCATAGGCGACGCTTTAAGCGATTTAACCGCTCATTAATTTAGTGTTATCAGTGATTGATGGCCCTAGAATTACTGTTTGTACTCCGACGTTCGCGGTGGTATGTAACATGTGCGGCGCAATCGTCATTTTTACACGTAGGCGCACACCAACGCATGTTTGTGCGTGTATGTGGGGGCAGGGGATGTAAAAAAAATGTTTGTGGGTTGTTGTTGTTTTTTTATATGCAACTTTATTGCTTTAACATAGGAGGCTAAGAAGTCCTCTATGTTGTAGCCAATTTACCGTGACAGGTCCTCCTTTATGGAGACATCAGGGATCTGTAAGACCCCGACAAAGAAGCTGATGAACCAGAGATCTGCTTCACGAGTCAGAAAGTGACAGCTGAATGCGGAAGTGATGTAATATACATCACTTCCTGCATTCTGACATCGGGGAGGAGATCAGAGGGAGATCGTGTATAAGAACGGGCTCGGGCGTGTTCGCAGCTCCACGTGCCGAGCCCGCCAGGAAGCTGACAGCGCGCGGCGCCAATCACAGGCACTGAGACATTTCCCGATCTCTGCAGCTGGGGACAGGGAAAATGTCCCAGTGCCTGTGACTGGCGCTGTCAGCTTCCTGGCGGGCTTGGCACGTGCAGCTGCGAACACGCCCGAGCCCATCCTTAAGGCCCCATTCACACTGAGCGCTTTATCGAGCGATTTTTGCAGCGATATCGCTCATATTTCCACGCGATTTTGCTCTATGTAGCTTCTCCAATCCATTTCAATGGAGCTGTTCACATCTTGTGGCTCAATATCGCTTGTAGCTCGTCGCTCCTACATGACCCTTTTTTCGAGCGATATTGCTCCTGATTGCATACAGCCCAATAGGAAAAAGTTGCGCTCAAAATCGCACGGTTTTCATGTCGCTCAGTGTGAATGGGGCCTAAATGTGTACTGATCTCCTGTCACAGAGCCACTGTGCCAGATTTGGGCACACGCAGCTGCGGACCGGCGACGGCGGAGGGCACATCGTTCTGCACCGCATACAAATGATCGAGTGGCTCTACAGCCATTGGACAGATTGTATGTAAATAGCCATCGCCGACTGCTTCAAATAGTGACAGTTTCCCCGCTCATGCACGCAGGAGGAGGTGGCATGCACGGCCACTGGCACAAGGACGTTTTAAAACGCCCACCTGCATTTAAGAAGCTCCCGGCCGGCCGTTTATATACAACGGCTGGACGGGAAGCAGTTAATAACAGAGGATGGCCATTCACCTTTTCCAGCAGAGTCGGTCCCTCGTTTCTCTATCGCCGATCGTCAGCAAGACTCTGCGGCAGCGGTGGGGGAACTCGGGCCCTCTAAATGTGGTGAAACTACAAATTCCATCAAGCAACTGGCTCAGGGAGTCTTGCAGTGCCCCCTGGGATTTGTAGTTCCACCACAGCTTGAGGGGCGTAAATTATTCCAGACCCCCAAGGGAGCGATGGCCATCAGCGGTACCTTGGGTTGATTCTGAAAGTAACCATAGCAACCGACCTGCATTCAATGTACTCACTGAGAGACGCTTGCTGACCGGGTTGCCATGGGTGCCATCGTTTACAGCGAGGTGACCCGCCCACCGCAAAACGGTTACCAGCACCCATATTGACGATTGTTTTGGTGTAAACATGGATGTCGGCTGACAACATATACCGTAAATCTTCAGAATCCTCCGACGATCCGGAGGAAGACAAAAAACAAAAAGCTGCAGCGGATAATGATGGGGGAATGAAACAGCAAAATGCAAAGAGCATCAGGGACCCCAGTGTGGGGCCAGGGGCCCTGTCTGCAGCTGTAATGGGTCACAATAAACATGCATGCAATGCTACAACAGCAGGGATGAGGAAGACGGTGAGACAGCAGGATGAGGATGATGCTATATACACCATGGCATGCAGCATAGGAGGTTATATACTCGCCTGCTGAGCAGAGCTGCCACTGCCTGGAAGGGGAGACTGTAGAGAAGCAGACACAGGCCTGGTCTGGGGAGGAGATACAATGACACTGCAGAGGGGAGGGAGGAAAACAGGAACATGTGAGAGGCTGGAGGAGGAGAGAAGCTCAGACACAGCAGACCTGTATGTGCGCTCTGCCTGCAGAGGAAATCTGGGCCCTTAAATCCAGGGGCCCCCACCACCATCAGGAGACCTGCTGCTGCTGCAACCTATGACCAGTGAGGAGGGAAGGGGGGGCTCTGACATATAAATATCCTGCACCCCACCCTGACCTGTCATAGCCCCTGCTTCTCCATACCCCCTCCCCCTATCCTATGTATTCATCTGCACCGGCCTTTAATAATCCCCTGTATTCTGAATACTGTGTTATATGTGTCCCTTCCCCACATCCCATAATATGTTATATTTCATGTAATTGTGCTCCCAGCCTGTACTAATCTCCTGCATCCTGACTACTGTGTTACATGTATGTGTGTGTTGCACCCTGACTACTGTGTTGTATGTGTGTGTGTGTGTGTGTGTGACACCCTGACTACTGTGCTATATGTATGTATGTGTGTGTGTGTGTGTTGCACCCTGACTACTGTGTTACGTGTGTGTGTGTCCAGCCCCATCCTATAATATGTAATATATCATTGTGTTACCGGCCTATAATAATCTCATGTATTCTGATTGCAGTGTTATGTGTCCCTCCCCAATCCCATACTATGTTATATATAATATAATCCTACACCCAGCATATAATAATGTATTGTCATTACAGTGTTGTTTGTGCCCCTACCCCATCCCATAATATATCATATATTATCATATAATTGTGTACCTGGCCTGTAATAATCTCCTGTACTCCAATTACAGTGTTGTGTGTGTCCTTGTCCTCTTCCGCTTCCCATAATCTGATATATTTCACGTAATTTTGCACCCGGCCTGTAATAATCTCCTGTACTCTGATTACAGAATTATATCCCTGTCCTCCTCCGCATCCCATAATATGTTGTATATATAATGTTAACCTGCACCCTGCCAGTAATAATCTCCGGTACCCCGATTTATTGTGTTATGTGTCCCTTTCCCTCCTCTTCCTCATCCCAAAATATAATGTATATGACATAATCCCTGTATTCTGATTACAGCGTTTATATGTGTCTCTTTTCGCCCCGGCATCCCATAATCTGATAATTTTTACTCGGTAATATTTGATGTATTCCCGCACCCAGCCATTAATAATCCCTGTACTCAGATTATTGTGTTTTATCCTTTCCTGCTCTGCACTCCATACTCTCCTATCACCCTTCACCTGTAAATCCCTATTCTCTGATTACAGTGTTATATTTGCATCTCTTCTCCTCCGCATCCCGTACTTTAATATGTATATCACATCAATGTGTTTCATCGGCACCAGCCTGTCATTTTCACTATATACTCCTATTACAGTGTTATATATGACCCCTGCGCATCCCATAATCTGATATATTCCCTGTAATCCTGAACCTGACCTGTAGTTGTATCATATATCCTTATTGGAGTATTATATACATCCCCTTCCTCCTCCACATCCCATAATCTATTTCCTGTAATCATCTCCTGTATTCGGAGGGGGAAAAAAACTGGAGCAGTCAGAATCTGGGGCAGTTGCCCATGGCAACCAATCAGCTTCTCTCTTCAGTTTGCTCAGGTAAGATTTGAAAATGAGACAGAGAAGCTGATTGGTTGCAGTGCAAGTCTGCTCCAGTTTTGATAAATTCCCTTCACTGTATATTACTTTCCTCCCATGCATTGCCCCATAATCTTATATATTTCATGTATTCCTGAACCCCTCCTGTACTAATCAGATGTGTTCTAATTATATAGATGATCCAATGCCTTACATACACTATATTGCCAAAAGTATTGGGACGCCTGCCTACCATGCAGATGAACTTTAATGGCATCCCAGTCTTAGTCCGTAGGGTTCAATAGTGAGTTGGCTCATTAGCAAGGAATTGTCACGGAACACTTGAATCCAATGATTTGGAGGGGTGTCCCAATACTTTTGGCAATATAGTGTGTGTTACTTAAATATATTTCATGTAATCCTGAACTCTGCCTATGATATTCAGGATTCTGCCAGTGCATTCAGGAAGCATTCAGACCCCCTTCACATTTTTCAATGTTGTTATGTTGTAGCCTGATACTACTGTTTTTTACATTCTTTTTGTTCTCATGAATCTCCACTCAGCACCCCATAATGACAAAGTGAGAAGAGAGTTTTAGAAATGTTTGCAAATGTACTAAAAAGGAAAAACTGAAATAACACATTGGCATAAGTATTCACACCCTTTGCAACAGCACATGAAATTTAGCTCAGGTGGCCCCCATTTCTCTGAGATATTTCTACAACTTGATTGGAGTCCCCCTGTGGTCAGTTACATTGATTGGACATGATTTGGGAGGGCGCACACCTCTCTACAGAAGGCCTCACAGCTGCCAATGCATACTGTATCAGAGCAAAAGCCATGAGGTTAAAGGAACTGCCTGCAGAGCCCAGAGACAGGATTACTGCAAGGCACAGACCTGGGGAAGGCTACAAAAACATTTCTGCTGCACTGAAGGTACCCAGGAGCACAGTGGCCTCCATAATTCTCACATGGAAGAATTTTGGCACAACCAGGACTCTTCCAAGAGCTGGCCGCCCAGCTAAACTGAGCAGTGAGGGGAGAAGGGCCCTAGTAAGAGAGGTGACCGAGAACCCGATGATTACTCTGACAGCTCCAGAGATCGTGTGTGTGAAGCTGGGACAAAGTTCCAGAGGGACAACCATCACTGCAGCCCTCCACCAATCTGGCCTTTATGTCAGAGTGGCTAGACGGAAGCCTCTCCTCATTGCAAAACACATGAAAGCCTGCTTGGAGTTTGCAAAAAAAGCACCTGAAGGACTCTCAGACTGGGAGGAACAAGATTCTCTGGTCTGATGAAACCAAGATTGAAACGTTTGACCTAAATTCTAAACGTTATATCTGGTGGAAACCAGGTACCACGCATCACCTGCCCAATTCCATCCCAACAGTGAAGCATGGTGGTGGCAGCATCATGCTGTGGGGGGTGTTTTTCAGCAGCAGGGACTGGGGGCTGGTCAGGGTTGAGGGAAAGCTGAATGGAGCAAAGTACAGAGATACTGTACGCTCAATGAAAACCTGTTCCACAGCACTGAGGACCTCAGACTGGGCCAAAGGTTCACCTTCCAACATGACAATGATCCTAAGCACACAGCCAAGACAACACAGGAGTGGCTTAGGAGCAACTCTGTGAATGTTCTAGAGTGGCCCAGCCAGAGCCCTGACTTGAGCCCTATTGAACATCTCTGGAGAGACCTGAAAATGGCTGTCCACCAACAGTCCCCATCCAACCTGACGGAGCTTCAGAGGATTAGCAAAGAAGAATGGCAGCAAATACCCCAATCCAGGTGTGCAAAGCTTGTCGCGTCATACCCAAAAAGACTCGAAGCTGTAACTGCTGTCAAAGATGCATCAACAAAGTACTGAGTAAGGCTCCATTCACATATAGCATTTGCGTTTACCGCAAGGTTTTCCGCGTGGAAGACCGGGCGGGACGAAAACGCTAACATTTTTATTAAATAGCCGCAAACGTGCGGAATCCGTCGGATTATCACGATTGTACTATTCCGGGGGCACCGCGCGGTCCCCGCAATAGTCTGAACGACGCACATTAAAGTGCATTGTATTTTCTGTTTGCAGCGGCTCGGTATGTATACATGCAGCCTAATACGCGCGGACAGCCGATCCGGTGTAAATGGAGCCTAAAGGGGTGTGAATACTTATGCCAATGTGATATTTCAGTTTTTGTTTTTTTTAATAGAAATTCACCGACATTTCTAAAATTCTGTTTTCACTTTGTCATTATGTTGTGCTGAGTGTAGATTGAGGAGAAAAAAAGAATTTAATCAACTGTAGTGTCAGGCTGCAACACAACAAAACTAAACAAAGTGAAGGAGGTCTGAATGCTTTCTTAATGGTGTGTGTGTGCGTGTATTAAGGATGCACCGATACTGGTATTGGTGCCGATGCCGAGTACTCGTACAGGATGGGGGCACGATTGCATGAATAGATCAGAATAATGAGAATATATGTAAGGGACTGGATCACACACACATTTATGTATATTAGGGATGCACCGATTTCGGTATCGAGTACAGATAATTTTTTTTCTAGTACTCGCCAATACCGAACGTCCCATTCAGGAGGCCAGGCGGCGTGTAAAGTCACTAGGTGACGAGAGAGCATGGAGCCGGCTTCCCGGCCAATCAGGAAGCCGTGCGCCACGTCATTACACAGCGCCCAGCTTCCTAATTGGCCAGAAAGCCGACTCCATGCTTTCTCGTCACCTAGTGACGAGAAGCATGGGGACAGCTTCCCTGCTAAACAGGAAGCCGGGTGGGGAGTCTTTACACGCCGCCTGGCTTCCTGAATGGGACTTTCGGTATTAGCGAGCACCGAAAAAAAAATATCGGTACTCGATAACGGAATACCAGTTTCGGTGCATCCCCATTTATATATGTGTGTGTATATATGTATATGTATATATATATATATATATATAATGTGCCCCCATCCTGTAATATATTCCTGTACTCTGATTACAGTATCATATACATCCCTTTCCTCCTCTGCAGCTCATAATCTCATTACTTTGATTTTATTTCGACTGATCCTACACTCGGCCTGTCATGATTGTACATACTGATTGCTCGGCGTCATAAACATCTCGTATATGCATTTTAACTCCCCTGCATCCCTCATCTCATATCGTCCTGATAGTCCCCCGCACCCACCCAGCAATATTCTCCTATGTTCTGATTACAGTGTTGTACATGCTAGTTTCTTCCCATGCTGATCATCACCGCGCACATATACTGTACATATTACACTTACACAGCAATCCTATACTCAGCATATAATAATCGCATAATATATTATATATGTACCATGATTACTGTGCACCATGCTGTATAATAATATCATATATACATATATTACACTCACCCAGCAATCCTATACTCGGCATATAATAATAATATAATATAATGTATATATACCCTGATTACTGTGCACCGTGCTGTATAATAATATCATATATACAGTACATGTTCTCTTTTCCTGCATCCCGCATTCACTCATCACCCTGATACCTGCCCTACACTCCCTGCACCGAGCCT